AACAACTCCAACTCTCTCAGCTTTTCCTCACAGGAGAAGTGTTCAAGCCCACTGATTATCTTGTTGTCCCTTCTCTGGACGTGCTCCAACAGGTCTATGTCTTTCCTGTGCTGAGGATCCCTGTGCTGGATGCAGTGGTCCAGGTGGGATCTCACAAGAGTGGAGCAGAGGAGAATTCCCTCCCCTGACCTGCTGCCCACACTGCTTTGGATGCAGACCAAGACCTTTTTGGCTTTCTGGGCAGCAGGTGCATATTGTTGGGTCATGTCCAGCCTCTCATCCACAAGCATCCCTAGTCCTTCCCGTAGGGCTGCTCTTGAATATTTGCTGTGGAATACTTATTGATGAATCTCATATTTGGGGGAAAAATTATCATAAGATTAGTTGCGTGAGTTTTTCTTCTTTTTTTTCTCTGCATTAGCCATCATATTTGGATTATGATTCATTATGCCATTAAGCCCAACATTTACTCATTTTAGTACTTGTGCATTTACTTTTTCCAGTCTAAGCACAATAGTTCATGCTTTTATTTACTGCACTTGTCAGAATTCCAAACTGTTTTCTCCAACTGGAGATAATTTTGGACTGAGATCTGGAACTTACCACCATCCATCAAGAATCTGCCACCCTTCATCTAGATGTCATCCACAAAACTGGCATGTGTACACTGTCCTGTCAGGCACGTTGCTAACGAAAAATTAGAGTAGCAGCAAGCATGGAAGGGACTCTTTCAGATCTTGACTTGTTGTGACCTTTTGTTTTGACAGAAAACCATCAGGAGCTACTCGCACTGCAGCTCTTCATTCTGTTATGCAACCAACTTTTAATAATTTCACCTGGACCATATTCCCCTACTTACTTTACAGGACTGTCACATAGGACTGTATAAATCCTTGTTACAGCCAAAATATGTCACATCTATTTATTCCCTATTATCCATTCAGCCAATTACCCTGTCAAAAGAAAAAATTAGATTCATTTGACATGATTTGTTCTTGACAAATTCATGTTGACTGTTTATTATCACCTTATTATACCCTAGGCCCTTACAAGTTGATACATTAATCTTTTGTTTTCGATATCAAGCATAGCCTAAATAGGATATTAGTCCTCTGGTCCTGCTTCTTTCCCAGCAAAAGTTAGAACCATAATAAAATACTGCAGAGTTATATTCCATCCTTATCCTCAAAAAAAATCTTTCACTGTTGTTTTAATGGAAGACCACCTTTTGAATCCTGATAAATTAATGCAGTGGAACAATATATAAATTTAGTGATGCATTTGCTTCATAGAGATGGAGAAAAATAAGGTAAAAAACAACAAATAAGGACTGATGAGCATCCCTGATTTGCAGGGAAATACTACTACTGTTGCTATTTAAGTCAAACAATAATTTCTGGCTCATATAATTGGAAATATTTTTTAAAGTGTATCATAATGGAATTCAAGTCCTGTGAGCACACCAGAATGCTGCCCAACCTTTCTATAAAGGCAAACTGGGTCATCACTCAGCCATCTCATTAAAAGAGGGAAGAAAAAGGTAATCCTTTTGCAAAAAAATTGACCTTGTTGACAGATACTGATAACTATAGAACTTTATCAAATAATCTCATGGGCAAAGGAAGATCATATAGTCAAGGCAGAAAAATTCAGAAGGCACTTTTTTTTCTTTTTTTTTTTTCCAGGCCATAAGCAGAAAATTACTCTTACAGCTACCTATAGGCACCTGAAATACCCTACTGAAGTCTTCTGGACCACATTTTACAGATACTTTAGGTCTTAGAGATAAAGATTTAATGTTTGCTACAAAACAAGCATTTACTGGTGCAATAGTTCTCAGCAGCTGCCAATATCTAAGTGGCAACAGAGGCATTTGGAGCTAAGCATATATTTAAACATTTCACCCTAGTTTGAATGTACAATGTGAGTGTAAATAATATATCTAGATTTCTCTGAAAAAAAAAAAAATTACTTGGAGTCCACAAAACCTACCTTTGCTGTACTAATGTTTTTGCTCAGCATGGAGAGGCTTTGGTTATTTGCACATTCCTCTCTTCCCTTGTATGAGATTTATTTTTAAAAAACATACTAAACACACAGCTGTCATGAAGATTTATAGATAACTCCTTTACAAAGAAGCTAAATGATTTTAGACTATTGTACTGCCCTTTCTCATCTTTTTTAAAAGTGATTTTGATACCATGTAACCAAAAAAAAAAAAGCTCTGATGCCTTAGAGAAATCTCTATCTAAATGGAGAAAATTGTGTATTCTGTGCAAAAAAATAAAAAAAAAATCCCACAGACCAGTTTTATTGTAAACGTTTTCATAATATTGTTGTGTATGAGGAAAATGGAATTTCTATTCATTACTCTCTGATAAAACCTATCTCCTGCATCTAAAAATAGAGACATTTTGGTAGAATATACATAAAGCCTAGGTTCCTAGACAGAAAAGTTATTTATTGCTGTTATGGATTTAAATTGTGTTCAACAAAATATGATGAAAATGAAAGGTAGGAATATTGAGTAAATGAAAACTTTTTCATGATAATAGGAGAAAGAATTACAATGTGTGTGCTTGCCATTCAGAGTAGAGTTATCAAAAAATGATAGCTAACAGCCCTTTTCCTTCAAAGCATTTTTTTCTTTGAATCCAAATATTAAATCTTTTATTTACCACATTTTTGCTTCAAACACAGACACAGGTGGACATTTCAAAATTACCTAAGAAATGAAGAAAATAGCTCTACTTATTCCCTTCACGTTGCAGAAAAACATTCCTAAACTGCAGTGGAACTCTGACTATAAATTATTTCTTGAACACCTCAGCAGAGCACTTAGTGATTTTCAGTAGTAATAAGTATAAACACTGGAATGAGAAGACACTACCATAAAGATATTCACAAGCTGCCTCTGTGTGGTAGCGAAAAGGGGAAGAGATATCATTCCAGGTTAATCAATGGGTGGATTTTTGATCATAATCTCTCAATCAATCAACACTGTGGGTGCTTTAAAACTTAGGTGAATATTAAAAGTGGAAAATTAAATACACTCATCAGGAAGGTCTCCCCATTCAGTAGAGACAATATTGATCTATTAGAGAGAGGGGAGCATTAAAACAACCTTCTGAGCAGTGTTGACTATTTGAGTTCAAGCCTCCAACACCTGAAGGTGTGACAGGACAGATAAATATCAGCTAGTCTTCCAAGAGTTTTCTGTGAACAGCCTAAATTAATATAGGTCTTCCAAAATTAGTTTTTTGGACACTGTAGGTGGCTCTGAAAATGGCCTCTGGCTCTTCCCTCTCTCTTCTTTAGAAACCTAAGAGCAGCAGAAAAGGAGCAGTATGGGAGCAGAGTAGTCCTCTGAATAAAAAGTATCAGGGTCCACTGATGCTTTATTTATCTCCATGTAGAAGGATTTTTACTTCAAACATTTTATTCTGGAAATGCATAGATCTTCTCAGCTGGAAAATTTTCCACTCCACATATCAATCCAAGTCATGGAACTGCTAATGACTAAGTAACTTTACTGATATATTCATCTTGCCTTTTGTTTGGACCTTTTTGAAGACAAACAAATGGTATATCCTCTTTGAAAGGAGGTGTTTCACTCTGGTATGTAACACTGAAGTATTTGATCTCTCTTTCAGCTCCATACTGTGTCTTGTTCAGTGTGATATGATTTTTCCTGAGACAAAGCTGAAAAAGCAGAAAATTTCGAGTGATAAATTGGGCTGCTCCAATGGTAAGAACCACTGTGGCCCAAAAGTCTCCATCCTTCCCTCCTCATGAATGACTCAGCATCCACAGTCCTAATTTTGCCATCTGGTTTCTAAATGGAAGAGCCTAATTTGACTCTTCTATTTTTATCTGTGAGGGATGTGGCAGTTTTAGAGAGTGTGTTGCCCTTCCTTGCACCACTCTTTGAGAATTATGTCAGTGTTATAAGAGAAGGTGCCCATTCAGTAAATGAAGCAAATAACCTGGAGTCGTCAGTAAAATTAAATATGTGATGCTGACTGGTCCAGAAATGGTGACTGAGATATTTTGAAATTATTTTCAAGGGATAAAAAGATGAGGGGAATGAAAAGAGCTACAATATTTTTACCCCTAGATGAGAAATCTCTAAAATTAGGCTTCAAGGTTAAATTTAAGTTTTTGAGAAGCTCATGGTTTTGATAAATAATCAATAAACTAAAAATAGTACAAACTGTATATAAATAGCTGCCTTTAAAGAGGCAGGAGTACACAAGAATTATTTCACTTCTTCCTATGACCCTTGTGTACAGTTTTGGGTTTGACCTCATTCTAAGTTAAAACTTTTTTATTTTACACAACTAACTTCCATATTTAAATGACATAGTGAATTAAAGACAGAGAAAGATTAGTAATGCCTATGTGAAGAAACTTCCTGAAGAGCCAAGAATAGCAGAAAGAAATACATTTTACTATGTCAGGTTTGGTCTGCATACACAGTGATTCTGAGAAGGAAATAGGAGAGCTAAAACCTAAGAGGCTTTTCTGTGACACAACAGGTATTAGCTGGCAAGGAGCATCACAGCACAGCTCCCTTGGGTAATTATGGGAGACAGGTTTACTTCCTTGGTGTATTAGGAGCATCTCCAGTTCAACTTCTTCTGCTTTGTTGCTGGAGCAGTGAGAGGATGCAAGGTAGGAGCCAACTGAAGGTACACATAACTGGTAGAAGAATTAGGATCCAGCAGATATACCAGGGATCAGCCAATTTTTCCTGTTTACACTCAGTGCAGCAGAACTGAAGTTGATGAGCTTATAGGGATATTTTGGCAGGGAAAATCTGGCTGGGTGTATAAACACTACCAAGCCATTGTGTTTATTTGAAACAGCTTACAGCCTTTTCATCTGCTGAGCAACAAACTGAAATCACAACGTTTCATTTAGGCTCAATTTCTGGAAATTATGGCACATCCTAGAAGATAAGTAGATATTTCTAATCTGATACAAAATGATCGACTTACATCAGAATTGAATCTCAGCTGGCAAATGTTGCATGATATGATTTGCTTTCTTCGATGAGGAAGAGGAACTCCAAATGTATGATTTATTACAGCTTTCTGAATTGGGTCCATCTGTGAAGAGAGAAGAAAAATAAAAAGCTTTTGCTGTTCCACTGTGTGCTATGTTATCTAAAATCTCAAAACAGATTCTATATCATGCCGTACTATGACCTAACAGAAAGCTACTATTTTTCTTTGAAAATGAGTATTTCTTCTTCATGTAGTTATACTGAGAGGTTATGCAGAAAGAAACAAAGAAAAATGTCATTAACTTTCTTGAAATGCATCTCCTTAATTTTATATGCACCAATCTCCCTTTACTGAAAAAGGGTATAAGCTGTAAATACTGAACAGGCTTTCCTATCCAAACACCAATTTGTGATTTTTATGTCAGAGAAAAGCTACTTCAATAACTAAAACAAGAACATTTAAAATAAAATTACTAAGAAAAGAATCAATGAAAATGTGAAATAATATACATTATATATTATATGCATATATATAATTATATATTATATACATATGATTTAATATATGAAATTATATTTTAAAATAATAAAAACACAAATATTTATATATATTATATATAATTATATATTATATTATATGTAATATAATTATGTATATATAATTTCAGAATAGCACATAATACCTCATTATTACCTAATAATAATAATAATAATATCCCATGAAGCAATAAATGAATCTCTTCCTTGAAACAACATCTACACAACTTAGAAAATATACAAATCCTCCAAAGACAATTTTCAAAATCATTTGGAGGAAAGTATTTTGAATAAACTCTGCTTTAAGGATGAATTTGGACTTTTATGAAAATGATAATTCTTAGCTAATTTCTACCAGAACACTGATCTGATACTGTCTGAAAGTCAGGGTCCGTATTAAAAAAATTGTATGCCATTTTGGCAGAGAACTTCACTAAAACTACTCGAGGGATTTTTTTACTTGGTGGGTTGAAATCACCTTCCCCAAATTAATTGAACAAAATGCTCATTTCTTTTTCACAAAAAACATTTGACAGATACTTTAAAAATCTGGTAATAGCTTTGCAGCAACTTGGTTAAGCCCCTGTTATTTTTTATCTTTAAATTGTTAAAAAATCACACATATTTTGAGTAATTCTGATAACCGGTATTCACAGAGCATAATCTGTCTATGTCCTGAAAAAAAATCCATCTTTCTCCATGTGCATGTCTCCATGATTCACTGTTTTCTAGTCTGTTGGCAAAGGGTTATTTGATAAATAAAGAATCAGAGTTTGTCCTTAGAGTAATCAATTATTCATGAAAGCTGTAATGGTAGACACTCATGGCCTCTATTGCAGTGAATCCAGAACAGATCACTACAGAATTTTTTCATCACCTGACAGTTGTTCACTGTCAAATATGAAATAGGTCTTTAAATTAATTCCTGTTGAAAAGAAAATAAGATTGGTTAAAAAAAAAAAAAACAAAAAAAACCACAGGCACACACAAACCCCCCAAACAAACAAGGAAGACAGCAGAGCTTTATAGAATGGCAGAATGGTCTGAAAAAAATTCTCTCTTTGAGCATCTTCTTCAATTTGATGTGAAATACGTCATATATTTTTGTACTGACCAGCATAAAAGAACACCAATCCCGTCTAGAAATGAGGGATGCCACTGTAATATAACCCCAAAATAACACTGTTGACTAAGGGCAGAGTATATCAAGCTCTGAAAGATGACAGCAAGTTGTGTAAAACTTTCTGCAGTGGTCAAACTATGCTTTAGGAGCACTCCTTTTATTGAGTAATATGATCTTGAAAAAGCCTACAATCCAAAAATACTATTCTATAGACCAAATAGGACACCACTACATAGGAAAGTAAATAAATTGTAACAGCCCTTCTTTTTTTGACTGCTCCACTGAGAGGTGAATTCTTATACCAGCAGAATCAATAGACCTGTATCTTGCTATTTTTAACACTAAAGCATGACATGGTATTAACTGTTGCTAATTCTGTGCTGTTCAAGCTTGGAGAAATTCTGTTCCTCCTGCCACTGCAGGTCTAAAGCAATTAGGGAAACCTGAAGTTCAGATATATGGATAAGTCAGCAGAGAGTAACAAGAAATTGTGCATTCTTTGATCCAGTGTAACTGGCTTCACATTAACCACAGCTGTGAAATTCTTTAGAGAGCTTCTTTATTCACTTCCTCAAGTTATGGCACTTCTCAGATAATGTGAGATAATGGCCTTGAGTGTTACCATGTTGATCTTTCCCACTACCACACAAGTGCCCATCATCTCAGAATGACTTGAGAAAGTCAACAAAGTGCTCTATGGGTTAAATAAAAGGTACTTCCATGGTTCACAAGATGGAAAAATTAATTTTTTTTTAACTGGACTTATCCATCTTCACAGTAAGTATTCTAGCTCCAAATGAGGTTGGATTTCTGAGGCAACTGATGTTTTCATATTGAGAATGAGACAAAATATTTTTTAGAATTAAAAAGACCATGGATGTGTAGAATAGTTGCTCTGTGTTATATTTAATTTTAATTTGGTCTCATGGAAAAAAAATGTGTGGCTTATTTCCTAATAAGACCACAGATTTTCTCTTGTTTATCTGCTGATACAGAAACTCATCAGCGACCTTCCCCTTGAGTTTTTCTAGAGTTCTAGGTATACAACTATATGGCATTACTGGGAATAGGATGCTTTGCATTTGCAGCTCTAAATGAAGAAGTGTTCCAGATAGAACACTTTGCAAATTAATTAAGAAAAACTGCTTCAAAATAATAATCCCTTCTCTGTCAGTTCATAGACTCATAGAATTGTTTGGGTTGGAAAGCACCTCATAGATCATCTATTTCCAAACACTGCTACAGGCAGGGACATGTGCCACTAGACCAGATTGCTCAAAGCCAATCCAGCCTGGCCTTGAACACTTCCAAGGATGGGAGGATTGTTCTTTGACACTGCAAAGCCAGTTAGACTTAAAAACTTAGCACCAGATTCTAATAAAGTTGGGACAGAATGCTTGAAGGATATTTAACATTATTTGTTTTCCCTGGAGATTTCATTTGGGAAACATCAGCAATCCATAAATTCCAAATGAACATCCAAAAGCATCAGATAAGCCTCCACAAGTTTTATGCAGGAAATCTGAGAGGCAGCAGGATACTTAGGTGCAGCATGACCTCCTACTTAGGACTCAGATCTCACTGATACTGGAAGACCTTCTGAGAGTCAGAGGAATAGAGCTTCCTGATTGCAGAAAATAGGGAGCAAGAATTGCAGGGAAATAGAGGGTAATAATATCATATAGTCAAGATAATCAGCAAGTACTGAGATACTTTAAAGCATCTCCAGCACTTTGAGACTTACTGAACATTACTAATTACACATATAAATTTCATTTCAACTTATGTAAGTGGTATGCACTTTCAAAATAAAAGTTACCATGATAAACCTTGAAAAAATCTGCTTTTTACTTATTACTAGGGCTATTTTACAATTCTGGATTTCATTTCTTTGATGAAACTAATTTAATTTACTCTCATTTAAAGTGAAGGACAAAGAAGTTTGTAATCCATATGAAAGATTATCATTCAGATGTTGAAGCTGAGCAGAAAACCAAGGCTGGCAAGGTGTCCCTTTACTTCCTCTTGACAATACAAGACAAAAAGTTTGCCCTGAGAGTTGCACTGTGTTTGACTTGTCCATCACCTTTTGGCTTTCTACTCTCCAGCACCAGACATTTTTCTATATGTCACACTTTTCCATGTGGTCAGTCTAGGGATAGCACAGTGCTCAAAGTTTACCGCAAAGCACAGGATTACTATTAGATTGAGCAATGAAGATAAATATATAATTTGACTGATTTTTGGTTTCAATACATGCACACCAATAACATTGTCTATGTTTTAATTATTCAAGCTGAAATTTGTGGCAAGATGATATGACTCGCATTCTTTGATCAAATACTGTACTCCCTTCCCCAAACCTTTAGGAATTTACAATACTTTAGGAAAATCCAGGCTTAAACCAAGGGCTTAATAGAACTTTGCCCCTTAACTGCATATTCTTAGCTTTGACCCTATCATCATAATTTGGTTTTGCTTGTTTTAAATTCAGTCTTGCCAGACCTATGATATTAGCTATATCCCTTGTTCTTGTGCTTACTATAGAGCATGAAAATGCTCTTTATTTTGTGGACTGAAGATAAAAGGAGTGGCTGTTGCATGAACTTTTCTGGAGGAAACACCAACCACAAAATCCCCAAGAATTTGACTCAGAAGATCCCTTGTTATCCTACCTGCCTTGGACGTCTTTTCCAGAATCACCACAGCTGCTATCCTTGAAGGCTTTCTGTAGCAAAGTCGCAATCTCATTAAATTTTCAGTAAATATCTGTGTAATGCAGAACCTAGGATGGTATATTTTGCATACAGAGAAATCTGATTCTTTGGAAAGTAAATCTTACATATTTTCCACAAATAATTTCTAAGTCTTTTTACATTTGTGCATGAGCTTGCTTGTGTGTGTGTGTGTGTGAAGAATTGTTTTATGCTGAAGCTGAAATTCAAACACCAAATTTCAAGAATTTTCAGTGTTATTCTGAATTTCAAGAAATTTTGAATATGTATATTTTTATGAGTTTATTTTCTGTGACTTCTTATCCCAGGGGCATAAGAATTTGTCTAAGTTAAAAACAACAAAAAAGCAAGAACAAAGGAAAGCATGCAAGTTTGATCCATAAAGGTTCAAATCACAAAAGGGATATAAACCAAAGTGACTTATTTTTAATTTTTTTATTAAAACCAAAAACATTTCAGATGAGCATTTCAGATGCTTAAGGTTTGCAGTAAATTAATTGAAATTCACTAATATCTCTAAATAAAAGCATCCAGGTCAAAAGATAAGACAATGTGGATGCCTAGAGTCTGTTCAGAGCATATGTTAGGCCTAAATCAATCAAATAAATAAGAAGGTATTTTTACCTCACAACCAAAGAAACTAGTTGAAAAGGATGGACTCAGATCACTATGGTCTTATACTAAGTGAGCAAAAACATGTCAAGTCAT